GGAGGGGATGAGAGATGGGATGAGGGGGAGGGGGGGGGGCGCAGTATGTCACTTTTATTATGCACAAGGAGAGGGTCCTGAAAAAATTGAACCGCCACAGTAGGGGGCCGAGAAAATTTCGGGGTTTTAGTTTTAATATCTTTATCCCACCCCCCCCCTTGTCATATTAAATGAACTTTTCCTAACTGAGAAATGAAGGTAGTGCCTTTGTCCTGCAAATGGCTAGAGCTTCCTGTGGATCGGTTGATGCCATAAAATTAGTGTCCTCAAAAGTATAGCATATAGCATATGCTAAATAGATATGACACTCAAATTAAATAAAGTGCATTTTGTCATACTATTTCTTTTTTCCCCAAGGACACTAGCAACTGAACGGACAAAACTCTCTCATGGAACATAGCTGGGGGTGATGAGAAACTTCAGTTTTTAATTTCGTGGTTTATGTATAATAAAATATGAGTGAGGTTTCACTGTGTAGCTTAAACTTTTATTGAGTCCTTCAATCTGAAATAATACATGGCTGGCTGCTCATTTCTACACTAATTTTTACTTCCACTTCTGTGTTTACAACTTGAATGAAGTGAAATGGAAACACTAACTACATACATGTACAAAAAACAGAATATCAGTATTGTTTTTTTTTCCTCATGCAGACATGGGGACCTTTCTGCTAACAACCATTTCATTTATGAAATTCTGCATGTAATATTCAACACAAACTTCAGCATTTACACATCACATGCATACAAACTACAGTGTTTAACATTGGATAGCCAGCACCTCTCACAGTTTAACCAGTGATCAACGGTGGAATAAATATGTACCCCTGCAGAACCAATATACCGAACACTTTAATATTGGACTGATTTTAGGCCAATTTTGATCTCGCTGTGACGTGTTTTCCATAATTTAGATTGACAGATCAGCAAGATAAGTTATTTTGGCATGACTAGGTGGTGCTAAAAAAACCTAATATCTTGTAAAGCAGCTTTGATAAAAATCCCCCAGAAATGTACATTATTTTAATTTTTTATATCGCATTCTTTTATAACATTTTTCAAGGGCTATAGCTATCTGTAATAACACCAAAGACAATTTCTTAAGGGAACCGGAGAAAAAATGTCAAATTTCATAAGAATTGTGAAAAGACAGGTAAAATTCTGGGTACTTCAAATTTCATTAATATTATGTCTTAGGTTTTAGATTTAAATTTTAAAATTCAAAGATTTCTTTTTTCTTTCTTTCTTTTCTTTTTTCAGGATTGATGTTTTACAAAAAACATTTGGCAAAAGGTCTCTTACAATCAATGTATTGTCTTGCCCACCAGCTCAGCCATCAAAAACCATGATAGGGTCTATTGGAAATTCTAGAAAAATGAAAGTGTTTTCCTTCATGACCAGGCTGCTTCATAACAAAGCATTTTATGGTGTGTGGTTTTTCCATATTGCTTGTCATAGTGCCAGGAGCCGCAATATTACGTAAGAATGTCGCACTTCCTTTTTCAAACGTTGTTTTTCAAAATTTTCTTGGCGTAATAAAAATGGCTAACCTGAATCATTAACTGCAATGAATACTGTTTTCTTTTTCATGGTCTTGTGTTAAAGGACTTACATGTATTCTTCACTAATTGCCACTAGCGATCCTATGTACTGACGACTACCTGTACATTTGTACATTTCTCAGCGATCGTCTGCGATTATACGATAATTGAAGAGGAGTTTTCGTATATTAAATGAGCGCTGCGATAGCTGAACTTATATTTCAGCGATCCTGGCTTAGCGAAACGTAAAGTATAAGCATTTGGTAGTGATTCCCACCTCCCCAAATCCTTAGACTACCTGCATTGTTGACGAAAAAGGACCATTTGTGGCCTATCATTACCAATCACGCCGGCTCAGTGACACGACTATCTCAACTAAGTCAAGGCCAGGGAAGTCAAGGTCAAGGATCCAGCCGGGCTCGATATGTGCTTATCAATTGCTCTAGTTTAGTCTTTAATTTTTAATACAACCAAAGCTAATACATTAAAGCCTACCTTCAAAAGAACTTCATGGCCTTTTCTAGCCGCCAGCTGAACACCTTTTCTGTGTTTTTCCTTTTTTTCGTCGCTCAGTATCGTTCTTGAACCACCATGCACAATTATACAGGGTTCCATCTTCAAGCAAAACAGAGTGCTTATCTCGATCTTATATAGCCCTCTCCTACAATATAGCCTCGTGGATGTCTTGTGAGTTGTCTTGTTGCGGTCTTGTGATTCTTTTTGCCGGTGGCAAAAAAAGCCAGCAGTTTTGATGTACAGCAGTTACAAGTAAAAATATTTTGCGTCATGTAAAACTAAGTGTAGTGTCCTGCTCAACGGAAAATATAATTTGAAGACAAAATGGCGCCCAAAACCTACGCTTGAGTTTGCACCTTTACTTCTCTTATTGCAGTTTTTGATATGGGAAAATAACTATACTGTGTTCTTATCTTTAAACGGAATTAAGTTGCCCTCACCACGTGTAGACTAAAAACGGTTGTTGGTCTTTTTCTTTTCATTTTTTGATGAATTTTGATGGAAGCGTCAACCAATGATTTTTGATGGTAGCTAGCCAATACGTCTTGTATTGATATTGGTACATCTTCTGGCGTCAAAATGTGCAAGACTTTGAAAACTTAAAGGCGAGGCAAAAGAAGAGCCACTGTCATTCCATCTGAGAATCAGCTGAGTTTCCGCATGGCGACAGGTAAGTAGTAGTTTTTGGTAACTTGAACTCTAGGGAAACGAAAAACAGTTCGAGTTAGCGGGGAATTCGAGTTATCGGGGTAAATTTCAGTGAAATTTTGATCAAGGGAAAAGAAATTTAGTTCGATTTTATAGCGGGGAATTCGAGTTATCCGAGTTCGAGTTATCGAGGTTCTACGTATTTTTGGAACTGTTGATCCGGAACTAAGCTTATCTTTTAAGCTAAATTAGTGTTCTCTGTCAACAACGTTATTCTAACATACACGTGCATCTAATCTGTTAAACATATGGGCTGCCATAAAAGTTGAACTCAAGTCGACATATGGATGTCTCATAACGAAGTTACATGAGCATGATTGTCCGGGTGAATGTAGTCCTGAATAGGTCGAATAGGACTGTTGTTGATCATGATAATGACTGACGTTTTGACAACCCATGCGGTAGACTTCTTCAGAGTCAAAGTGAGTGGTGTCATGTCAGTGGATGATTTTTAACTCTGGTTATTGACCTGATTGGTCAATTAAGTGGCCATTTGGTTGGTCATCTGTGAGTTAATAGGGAGTTTAAGTTACGGAGACTTCAGACTACGAACTACAGCTGGACGAGTGTTGTCCTTTGTTTGTAGCACTGGGTTGAGTCGTGCAAATATAGACATTAAGATTGCATTACAGACAGTAGACTACGAGAGAAGAGGCGGAGAGGGAAACAACTCGCAAAGATTTTCTTGTTTTCATCACAGTTCACAGAAATGCAAGTCAATTTTGCATGAGATCTCATCTTAAGAACAATGAACAAATTCTTCCATACTTGAAGGAAGCAATTACGTCGGGTGAAATTGGTGAACAAAATTTTAGTTACACAGGTTTTATTTTTTTCGCCCATGAATACTTATGTCAAATATTAAAGAAATAGACAGAAATAGTAATAGCTCATTTATTAGATTTAGAAGATGGACTTCTCCGACTACTGATCTGATGTAGTATGAAGTATTGAAATGCCGAGTTTCGATTGTCTCGAAGATGTTTACATCATTTTCATTCAGCCAAAGCATTACAAAAACTCGCATAAACAAAAGTTACACAAGTAGAAAGACACACTAATCAGTTCGAACAAACAGTGAAACTTTTCAAGTGCAAAGAGAAAGTAAATTACCTGCATGATTTCTCTTTTCCTCAGCCATCAATCTGAATTCTAAGCTTTAGCTAGATAAAAATGTAGTCACAACAGTGGATTAAAAGTGTAAATCTGAGCAGAAATTAGACACAACTTACATATTTTGCTTCCCTCTCACTTAAAGCAGGTGAATTGAAAACTTTTTTAGGAAAAGACGAGATTCTTGAATTACCAAGACAGCAAAATATGACCAAAATGTTCTCCGTAGTCCTGACTGCGCGAAACAGCTCAACAACTCACCGTAGCTGCAGGACTACATGGGAAAAATGAACAGTCACGTGGTTTTGATCGTGCGTAGTAGCATGTTTAACCGTAGTTATAGTCCGTAGTCGCCGTATCTTAAACTCCCTAATAGTGATGTTATTGGCTACGAAGACTCTAAATGTCATTTGTGCGTTTCGATCAATCCATTGTCAGAGTTTAAAAGTTATTTATTGTTTGTCAAATTGTTAATTGTGCAGTCATTCTCTCACAGTTAGTTTTGCTTGAGTCAGTCAATAAGTCGTCTGTACGGATGTCTGTAATTAATGCCCACTCTGATTGCATGATCCAATGAATACCATATCATTCTCATTAGTAGCTCCACATTTTCTTTTTTTCATATTAGATGATACACCAGGGTCTGGTAAGAAGAAGAAACACAGGAGGGCAAAATCTAACTTAGAGTCCCAGGTTTGTTGTTAGAGAATCAATTATGCCACAAGGAAAGTTGGTCATACATGTACAGTGTTGTCGTGAGAGTAGACCAATCATAAATTATTATTTTTTAGAAATGTTATGTATGAGATAGCCATATGGTAGACTAATTTCTAGTTGTTACTTTTCTATGGCCACCACGGTTGACAACAAACAGAAATATGCTTTTGTCACAGGCTTTCTATAAACATCCCTCATTGCAAAAATGAATGATTGTAAGGCTGGCAATAATCAAGGCCCTAATTCTCCAGGCCTTTGATTACAACTTGGACTCACAAAATGTGCAAGCTAGTCATTAGAGGCACAGTCTGTTGAGTGGGAGGTCACAGGTTTGATCTCATGGGCTGCACTAGTGCTCGGCCCAGACTTGTTTTAATTTAGTTTTAATTCAGTTTAATCTGTTTTTACTGCAATCCCTGTAATAAAGATACAGACACAAGGGGAAGGACTAGAAGGAAACCGAAGAACCATACAGGCTTGTCCAGCCAATTTGAAATTAGATCACATGAGCAAATAGAAATTGCAGTCTTATGTACAGCAAGGAGTGTGTCACAGTGCCCTTTCTACTATTTTGTGCTAAATACATTTGACACTTAAAAAAAAAGCAGTGTTTTATGTTCATTCCTTTAATTTTTGATACCCCATTGTAAGGGATAAAACCTGTTAACTTGCTCATATTAATTTTTTGTGAGCCAAATAAAAGACTTCAGCATTGTAGCCACAATGAAATAATTGTATTCACCAGTTAGGGATCTTTCTGAATTACCTGTTAGTAATTGTAATCAAAATTGTTCATTTTAGGTCGAAGTATCAGGATCAACTGATCAGTGTAAGTCATAACCCTTAGTTATTTGGAATGAGTTACTAATGTGTTCTTCGCGGTGCAATTTAAATCCCCTTGTAAAGATTTAGATAAATTATGACCAATTTACAACTTGAACCTGATAACTGTATCTGAAAGAAAGTTTACATTTAACTTTGGTTTATAAAAGAATTAGTGATAAATGTTTTACTTTTCTATAGTGTTATCAGCAGAGAGCTCTAGAGTGTTAAAGGCACGTCAACAGACTCAAGCCAGGTTTGAGTCATTTCTTCAGGATGCTGTTGCTGATAACAGGTGCAATTGAACACCTTCTATAATAATCATATATTCTTAATCCAATAACAATAACAAAGTTATTAGGATGAAAATGTGCAGATGTACAAAATACAGTAATAATTTGAGTCTCAATTTCAGTAGAAATGCTCTATGGTAATACACACCGTGTATATAATGTAGGTGCTATTACTAGATTGAATGGGTAGAATTTATAAACCTTTGGCTACAACACTTACACGTTTAGTAAAAAAGGTGAAATTTGGAAAAGTCAAATAAGTAGTTTAAAAAAATACGCAGGTTGTGATCCGGTCCGATCGAGGAAATGAATGAATATATGGAAAAGTACTAAAAGTACACACAAAAAAAAAACTAGAGTAAAATTATTGGTATCAGACGTTTTAAATTGGTGTCTAAAGATAACAACGGCCGATTTGCGTAAATTACGTTTCAAAGGACTTAGCTCCTTCTAGGGAGGGGCTATGCACCTCCCTCTACTACCCCCCTGCTCCTCAGGAAAGTGCTTCTCTTGAGCATATTTTTTGCCTCACTGGCCATGAATGGTCCCTTACCTTCTGAGCTAAAATTTTGGGAGAACACTGACTTTGCAAAATGTCAATTTTGCAGTTTGCAAGAAGCCAGAAGGAAAAAGAAAAAGAAGAGGACCCACACAAGTGATGCAGTGGTAAGCATCTTTAATTTGAGTAACAGTTGGAATGTGACCTTATTCAGGGCACACCAAATTGATTATATGGATTGTGTTTTTTTTTTTTTTAGCTTGAAACCATTAAGTCTGGAAGTCCAATAGCTAAGCCCACATCACAATCGGAAGAAAATCTTCTTCAAGCAAACTTATACAAAGGAGGTGAGTACATGCACTTATCTCAGGTGAAGATTTCTAATACATCAAGAGACAGGGCTACTGATATTACATTTTTAAAGTAATGGAATTTAATAGTTTGAACCTGGTATACCATCTTCTGCACCATCCTGCTCCCATATCGTACCAATATTCATCATCTACATGTCAGCCAATTCCTCATTAGCCTGCATAACCGGCATTATTTTTTCGCCTTTTTTAAGCAAGAGAAGGCAAGCTCAAAGCGAGCAAGGGTGCAAGACAATGGCACAACAGCCGGCTTGTGCTCAACCTAGTTTGTGTTTTGCTCACCCAAAAAACACAAAAAATGGTGCCTGTTCTGCAGGCTATTTCCTTTTAGTGAAATCCAACTAGTGGTCTATTATCAATGCTGCGTTCTGATTGGTTGAGCTGCTACTAGGCTATATGTTATAACCCACTAGTAACCACAAACAACAACAACAATAGATTCCTAGCTAAAAGTCCCGGCTTTGAAAACCAAAACGATGGCGGCTGAATCGCATTTAATTTTGCTAGCTAAAGTTGTTTTGTCTCAATATTTTTGACCAACTAGTTGGATTTTACTAAAACAATAATTGTTATTAGTTATTATTCCTCTCACCCTCATGGCCTCTGAGTCAATTCAGCCTCATGAGCTATTGACTCAGAGCCCATTCGGGCTGTATTCTTACAGTCAGCTCTGGTATGGGATTTAAGGCTGACTACCATAATTTTTATTTTCTACTGGGAATACATGTAGAGTCTAGATTCTCAGCTTGTTCATGAAAGTACTCACAGAAGCTAAGATATTGATGCTAATCAATGGTCTCTTTACTTTAACTTAAAGATGATCCTGCACAAGAGGGAAAAGAAAACAAGAAATCTTACAGAGAGCTTTTGGAAGGTTCCTCAGCTGATCCAGCTGGTCTTGACAATAAGCAGGCAACTCCTAAAAGATCCAAGCACAAAAAGACCAGAACCTTAACCAGGTAAAACAATACAACAAACATGTAATTAGTCAAAGACCTGAGCAGTGCTGTTCTGACTAGTAGCACCAGTGGTATAGGCCCATGACAAATTGTACTCATCTAGACCTCAGGCAACTAAAATCTTATTTTTTACAGCTGGCACCATCAGTTTCACACTTTGTTTGATCAGAGCAGGGCTAAGAGTTGACATATTACTCTAGCATTATTAGTACACGGTATATTTATTGTGCATTGCACCATTAGAATGGTGTGAAGTTTGTTTGAACATAATTTAAATTATAATAATATTCTCTTATAGTTTAGTGAAAAGCAACTTATTTGATGTTGTGAAAATTCTTCTAACCTAAGTAAGCAGTGCTACAGAGGGGTGGTAGAATATAATTTATGATTAATAACTATATACTTATATGTACATTATATAAAATAATGTAATTCACAAGTATACTCTGATGCTTGGTACATGAAAAGTCAGCCCCACAATTTAATTTTACATCATCAGCACCAGTTTTATTTTTTCCAAGTGAGCAAGAAACTCCAGGTGGATCACAGGAAAAGCCTAGGAGAAGGAAAAAACCTAAAACTCCAGAGCCAAAAGTTGTTGGGGACAGTGCAAGAGAGAATCTTGGATTTCAAGATGATGCAGCCATGGAAGGTGATGGAGTAAGTACATGCAAGCCTCTTTTTTGTCTCCTCTACAGATCTGTCAGTTTGGTCTCTACACCTGTTTACCCTTTCCCTGCTAGCAGAGGCCTCTCTTCCCTGGTATTCAGCAGGTCCCTTTTACTCCCGTCCAGGGCTGTCAATAAGGGCTGGTAGCCAGCTACTTTCATCTCCTTCTACCATAACTGCTGACAAAAAATTAGCACCATCGAATAAAATTGTGAAGCATCCATGTTCCGGTTTTGAATAACATTGAACGCATATTTAAACACGTTTAGATTTGTGAAACGTTCAAAGCGTGCAATGTCCTGGAATGCCTGTGACATTTCGATGGCATTGTTCCCAGTGTTGCGAGTATTGTGACGAAACAACATAGCATCCGTGGTAGAAGATACCTTTTAAAAAACCCCAGAAATGCCAATTCTGAGACTCTAAATTTCATAATGTTCCTATAAGCCTAAGCCCTTAAGAACTAATACCAGGGAGAAGAGGCCTCTGTCCGCAGGGAAGTTTACCCTTCCCATCTCCCAAGTCTGCAATCTATTAAGGTGACTTGACCCAGTACTTTTGTAGGCATACCTTCCACCTTTGGACTTCCTATAAGTAACCAGCTTGGTCTTGGTGTTTCAATCACCCTATTTCATTCTTCGTCTTTTGCTCTCTCTCATCTGCTGACCTTCTCCTCGCTTAAGCCTTCCAATTTTATTTCCTGCTCATCTCCCTAGGTCTCACTTTTCACCCATGTTCTTCTATCCTTGTCATCTTCATTTCACCTACTTATTCTATCCTCTTGATACCAACTTTATTTTGCGTTCTCTTTTCTTTCCACCCTTTGCCGTGAATCTATCACAATTTAACCCTTCTTATCCTACTGCCCTCTTACTTCAGAATGTAACCAGCAGAGTTTTGATGCCTTGCTTTGTGTATTGTTCTTTCAGCCTGTTCAACCATCTTCAACTACATCCAAGAAAAAGGGTGGAAAAGCAAGAAGGAGACTTCATGGTACAGTTTTTTTGTCACACCTTGCTTCAGTTCAGCTTAAATAAAAATTTCAAATAGGCTCTTCCACAGTTTTTTTTTGTCTTTTTTTTAACTTTTGATAAAGAGTAGTAAACGAATATCTATCGACACTTCTGGAAAGAGGGCTTTGAAATATAAGGTAACTTAAATGTACCAAATTTATGTCCAATTTATGTCCAAAGAAAGCGAAGATATCGCCCCTCGAAGTCGCAAAATATTGTGGACGTTTCTATGGTGGGGGCACGAACCATACAAACGTCTCTAAAATTCTGCGACTTAGCGGAGCTCTACCTTCATTAGTTTTCAACAAATCACTTAATTCAAACTTGGTCACGTTACTAAATTTAAGGCGTTCTTTACAGACGTTATGACGGATTTTCGCTTAAAAAACCGTGCAAGGGTCTATTGAGTATTGACATACATTGTATTCAATTCTACTAATGATCCATACTCTCCACTTAGATCCTGATGCAGACAGACCAATAGAGGTTGTAAAGAAAAGAACAGATGATGGTTATATTCTCTCTGTTACTGTGCATCGTGCTGACTACCTTAAGCCAGATCTTTGTATATCGCATCCGATGGTGAGAGTTCACCTGGTGGATATGGACACGGGGCAGTATGTGAAGAAATCCGACAGGTAAATAAGCGAGTTATATGATTGAAATTGACCCTCTGCAAATCCTCTAGTAACCCAAGGATTGAATAAGTCCAGTAAACCATCAGGACAAGTAGATTCCCTTCCCTTCAATAACCTTTCAAGCTCACATGCTCAATGGGCAAAACCCAGTCGTGCAGTGAGGGCAAAGAAATGTGCAAAAAGCGTGATCCATGTGCAAAGTTGTATTTTTCTTTGCTAAAGCTCCCTATCAGCTGGGCATGTGACCTCACCTAAGTGCACACTGTGTTCTTAAGTGCATGTCCACATTTTGATTGTTAATGTACTGAATATTCTTTGTTGTTCTGTTCATTATAGTGCTCGTAGCGTGACATCTTACTATGAAAATGAAATCGAAACTCCTGTTGATTACATCATGCCTCTAATGACTCAACCTTATGATTTCAAGAAATACAAGTAAGTAATGTAATTATTATCATTTTTCTAGCATTCCACTTGTAGGGTTATCCTGACTCATGAATCGGTAATGCTAAAGATAAGGTTAATTTCGCACCCAGAAATAAAGTTCTCCAAGGCCGGGTTGTTCAAAGCTGGATTAAGATAACCCAGGGTTAGTGCGAAATTTCAAGTTCAGGTATAAAAGCTTTAAAAGCAAATTCAGTTTACTAATTTTTATCCGCAATTTGTTCATTGGATGCTCCACAAAATTACAAATTATTCGAGAAAATGCGTTTGAACAAGGGAAAAAGAAACCCGGTTTAAAATTTAACTCCGGGGTAGCGCCTATCGGTCTTCGAACAACTGGGCCCAGAATAGTAAAATAAAGAGTAGCCTGAGAAAACACCCCCATTTCGCGTTGCCACCACTCAGTCGGTTTCCCGCGAAATGACGTCTTAGGATCGAGAACAGAAATTCTATAGTGTTGAGGCGTCACTAACCAGTTCTGAGTAGTGCTTCTGATTGGCTGAAGCAAATTTTTCACGCGGTACACTGTGCGACCAATCAGAAGCACTCCTCAGATCCGGGTTTTGATGCGTCATCAGTATGGAATTTCTGGGCTCGTTTCTCAGACTTCATTTCGTGGGAACACCAGTGGTGGCGTCGCGAAATGTCGGCTGTTTTCCCAGGCTAGTCACTACCTTGATCTAGATAGTGCTTCAGATTGGTTGAAAATTTGCATGAACCAATGAGAAGCACTACCCAGATCTGGGTAGTGACGCGTCATCAGTATGGAATTTCTACGCTTGCCCCTCGACTGTTTTCTCAGAATAAGTAAAGAGCGAAATTCTTGCATAAGCCCCGTGAGTTGACCTGTCCCTTTTTCGATGTATACAACTTGATGGACAACTTTTTTCTAACGAAATTAAGTTACAAATAAATTTGCAAATGCTCTGATCAATGAGCCTTTCCAGCGGCATTTTCTGTATACTGATGTACATGTATGTTGCGATTTCGTTCAGATCTTTGATGCCATCATGGGAAGAAGTTCTTTTGTTCAATGAGATTTTCTCGTACTTTCTTAGTCGTGAAGAAACAGACCCCAAGGTCATCATGTTTTTTGAGGTAAAAATTCTTTAAGCTTTAATTGTGCCTCTTATCACTTTGGTGTGCTTCTCAGAAGAATGGAACCCTTCCTTCGTTTGCGCCCAGTTGGTTTTTGGTCCAAAAATCACGGTAGAAACTTGTATGATCAATAGAACGCACCAAAGCTAACAGCAGCTTTAATGTGATCACTATCACTAGGACATACAAATAATATTGTACACGCAAAATTATATTTTACTCATTATAGACCTACATTTGAGACACTTACTTGATTCCTTTGCCATTGTCGAAGCTAAAGATCATAGTTTTAAATTCATGAAATAGGGCGTGGGACTCCTAATTGCCTGAGAGAAATTTCACAGTTTCGCGGACGAATAAATAACTGCAAGAAAAAAGTTCATAAGAAGTATTTCGTCGTGGCTTAGGAGGGGGTAAGATATGCTTCAGTAAAAATTTGCAGGTCAGATAGGAAACATGTCCTGGGGTATTTTTTTAAAGAAGGCACTCTTGTAAAGTAAATTAGCCTTAAATAAAGTAGCTGGCTGTTAAACTTGTTTAATTTGTCATTTTCTGAAGGTGGTTGACTTTCTGAGCATGACAGCTGCCAATAGAAGAAAAGGTCCCTCAACAGTGGATAAAGGCTGGTATCAGGTGGCGTGGGCCTTTCTCAAAGTAAGTCTCATGGTCCCAGGTATAGCCCGGCAAACCGTTGGTGACTTGAGCGGCTTAAGGTGCTTAGGGCCTGCATCAACGATCAAAATATCGCGTGAAAAATTTCTTTCTCTCACTATACCTCCTTATTTAATCTGAATTCTTAAAGCCAATTTAACTGAGTACAATCAAACCTTCATGCGCGGCCACCGCTCGTAGGCTATCACCTCCCTATAAGCGTCCACCTATCAAAAATACCAAAAGTTTCACAGTGAAATCACTGAATTTGAATGATGATTGAACAATTTGCTATTATTTTTATCCCCCCTGTAAGCGACCACTTCAGGCATGGCTTGATGACCCACTACACAGAGTGTTCGAAGAATTCTCTTGTAAAATGTAGATTTGTTAGGATCTCTTTTATCGAGGGACCCCTGTGGTTCGATTCGCGTAAGCGACCGCTAAATCTTTGCATTTGAGGCGGTCGCTTCTGAGAGGGTCGGCTGTGTGTTGATTATTGATAAAGTAATTTTAAATGTCTGTTTAAGGTAATCGGTGGAAATGGCGCACCCAACACAGAGAAGAAAGTTCGTCTTCAGCTTTTTCAGCCTCCCAAGGCTTCGTTCAGATCAAATAACACGGTAGAAGTAAGTAGCATGACCAGTTACACAAACAAGTCATGTGTGGCAAGTTTTTAATTCTGATTGGCTGAGATAGTTTCGCAAGGTTTTCCTTAAGTGTCGAAGCTCGACGTCAAAAGCAACAATTGAACCAATCAAAACCGATGCTGCCGATCGTAACAAAGAACTCAAGTGAACCTATGCAACCCGCGGCAAAGCGCGGGAAAACACATACACATGTACGAGCCAAGTCAAGAGTGACATGATTTTAATTTCGATTGGCTGATAAAATGGCGGAAGAATTTTTTAATCTATCACAAGGCTAGCATTGTATGGTGCTGTGCCTGTCGCAACTGGGTTTAAAGTAGATACTCATTTGCCATCTTAGTGACGTCAATAGATAACGTACAAATTATTACGAGTCAAAGAGAGTTGTATCAGCCTGTGGCCTGCGTAACAAGCGTCTCTGATCGCGTTATTGCGCGAATTCTGCGGATCCTTCTTTTTCGCTCCTTTTCCATCTTCATTGACAAACTCGCGCGGAAACGCTTGGTACGTTGGCCAGTATTTGTGTAAACATATTGGTTTATTTTATTCGCTTTCCTAAAGAAACTTTAATATTTTAAAACTTGATTTCAAGTAAAAACTCTATGTTTACTGTAGCGTGTTGTTTGCTTGCACATAGGTGTATCAATGGTGGAAGCAAGCCAGGCGTGTACCATATCCTTCTACCCTCTATGTGACGCTAAAAGGAGTTCAACCTCCAAAGACCATTGACCCTAGTCTCAGATCCATGTTCGCCATCCAACAGGTCTGTTTCTAGCTTATTTTATAACACAGCGTTGTTTACTAGTCTCATTGGAATCAGTTTCCTGCCCCAAAGTAAGAGCTATTCTAGACCAAAATGCTACGCACACTAAACAGTCTAGACCTTTCGTTCTTGAAAAAGGGACAGGGGATACAAGTCAACAAGAACGCCTCGCCTTTCGTAAGCACGCGAGTTCCTGAGCGGCGTTTATCCCTTGAACCTAGAAACAGATCCTTTTAAAAGACAACTGTTTCGGAAAAAACTTCTTTGTATCGTGAAAAAGAGTGTTGAAAACAACCGGCGTGTATTAAGGACAGTGAAAGGTTACATTTAGTTAAGAAATCAACGTAGCTAGTGATTCAGTAAATATGAAATTCACAAGTGTCCCAACTGATTCACTCACTTTATAGACAGGTTCAAGTATTCTTACTAATCACAATCGTCGCAGTCATAAAGCCGTTAATGAAAAGGTCCTCAGTTTTTTACTTGGTATTACTAGTAGTGTCAGTCTTGTCCTCCGCCTTTGTCTATATTCATGTTGTGCCTGATAGCCTGCCTATTTTTCGTTCCTCTTCTTTGCAGGAAAAAGGCAAAGTTACTTTTGAAGAGTTCTCTTTAGATGCCGAACGGCGAGCTCACGGAATGAGGTGGTTTTCTGCGACGTATAAACTTCATACAAAACCTGTTTTGTTTTGTTAGAGAATCTTGCCCTGTTACTGTCAAACTTTTTGGGGAAACATGCGTTTGCTAAGTTGTTTTGCTTTATGCTCTTTTTCATTTCGTTTCTTTTTTTCTTTTTTTTTTTTTTCCTTTTTGAGGATTTCTGTGCGCTTTTTTGTGTGAACTACATTAAGTATAATCCAACTTTACTGAGGTTTCTGCAACGATGTTGTTATGTTGTGTTTTATTCTCAAATACCTCCTTCTAAACTTCTCTAGAGATGGAAAAAGCAACAAGGAGCCTACGAACTGGAGCAGACTTCCCGGTCAGGTAATCTACCTGCTTTCTTTTTATATAAGAATGTTGCCTTTCGGGCCCAGGCGGAAGATTCTTATTATTCTGTTATGAGGTAGTTACCTTTAGTTTTGTTTTTCAGTTTTGCTATTTTTAAGATTTTGCTAGCTTCGTGATAAACAGTTTATAGTCTTTTATAGACTTAGAAACTTAAAGATTCAATGTTTGAAGTGGGCTTGTTTGGGAAGTACAGCTGACCTTGAGTTTTACCCACAGTCAGGTTCCTGTTTTGTATGTTTTGTCCTTCTGGGTAGTTTCACTGTTAGCATTTAACTGGTTCTTTGGTCCTTGTCGGTTGCGGCTGTGTAGGCTTATCTTACTATAGCAAATCCGTTGAGGTATAGGCGATAAGGTATTTAATAGAAACTCTTCCGGTCAACTAACTCAAAATAAGTCTAAAATTTGGTCATTTAATTCGCTGTGTAACCTAGTAGAATTAGTTGAGTAGGAGAGTTGTTGTCAGTAGCTGTTGAAGAATAAACTTCCATCTTAAAGAGAACGAACAGAGTCTTGGTCCTCTCGTTAAAAAGCCAAGCGAGCTTCACAGGCCCTCAACAAGCCCTCTACCGTTTCTAGGCTGAAAATATTCTTGTATTATTCTTCATTTCTTTTGTGCTGTATTTACGGTACAGATGTATTACATGTACCGTTCATCGAACAATCATTAGCATTGAACATTTGGTTAAAGCTGGTGCAGGTTTTTCCAATTTGTTTGCTAGTTTTGCCGTTCAGAGAAAGGAATAATTTTATACGGTTAAGTTTAAAACGGATGATTGTACACAAGTATTGTAGTTACAGATTTTCAACGGACAAAATAATATCCCTTTCAAAATCTCAGCCTTGGGTTTATTCTTAAAATAATTCGCAAATTGATTCTTATAAAAAGAAAAGAGGCTTAAAATAACGGCCGGTCAAGATGTTGACCATTTGTCTGTACAAACGTTCGGTTTGCCGGTCGTTTTGACTGGACACGTAAATAAGTGACCAGAAAAAATAATGCTTTTTCAGACCATTACATTTCAAGAGCACGAGCAACCTTTTTCACTTATGTTGTTGCTCGTTAAGCTAGTAAATTCAAGTTGCTGTCGTGTTATTTTTAACAATTGGAACGGTCAGAAGAGGGACATGACCGAGCTAAAATTTCTTTGGTCGGTCAACACGAAGACCGGCAAAGAGTCCTGTTTTTTTGCGGGCGCAATAGTTATCTAGTATAGTGTAGACACATAACCAGAATAAAAGCTAATCACAGACGTTAGTAAGCGCTGACAAGCCTGAATGAACCATTTAGCTTTGAGCGCGGCAAAACCCCTCTCTGCAGCGCGTGTAGAACCTCATAACCAAGTTAATTGATTGTGCGTTGCTCAGAACGTTTCACTTGGGAAAAATTAACAAAAAAGACAGCCAATCACGTAGCATAGGCTACTGAACCCAAAGCAATCGCGTTTGATATTCCATTCAAAACTGCTTTGATGATTGTCTTTTTATTACCAGAGATGTTTTTGTACAATTACTTGATATATTCTTCCTGAACCTTGTTTTCTCTCTCATTGCGTGAAGTACAGAGGTTCTTCCAGACCTCTGTTTCCATGGCCTAAATAAGCAATCGCTTTTTTTGTTTTTAGGGGAAGGGGTATTGTTTGTGTTGATTCATCTTTTGTTTCGTTCTTCAATCACAGACCATATCTGGAGAACTACTGACCTCCTCATTACTCATCTTTTACAGGTTAATCGCATTCCAAACAAGCAAAAGGCGTCCCTTTTATCAGGCAAAAGAGGCTGCTTCATTCTGAAGTTCTCTCACAATGGCAGGTATAATCACAGGCGGAACCGAGAGAGTGTTATATTTCTTGCCTAGCTTCTAAGCCTCATTTTTCTGCGCGGCCTTTGCGTTTCGGGTGACGTTGACCAAGCGAGTTTTTGGCTGTTTGTCTCGGATACGTCACCGAAATGATTTGACCGAGAAGGGCTGGGAAGACTCCGTAAAGGGACTAGGCAATTTTGTTTCCATAGCATGCTGAAGTATTTATGGAGAAATAAATGACTGTAAGAGGGTAGCCTGCGTAGCAAGCCTTTCCGATCGAGTTATTGCGCGAAAGTTGCAGCTCAGCTCCCTCGACGAACTCGTGCGGAAACGCTTGCTACGTAGGCTAGTGAGAAGGATAATATGGTGTTCTAAGTAAAATATGTTGAAATGCAGCTTAGTCTCGGTTTTTTTCTCTTCCCGATCATCCGGGTTGTTCTTTTTTTTGTGACTCAGACTTCATGAATACACGCGCGAGAAAGGAGAAACGAGCGAAGAGAGAATTACGGTTTTCAGTTTTGATTTTCATTTAATTGCCAAGATGGACCACATCTACTTTACGGTAGATAATGCTTATAAATGCCTTCTTAACATCTTCCGTGAGACGTGAAAGAATAATGATACTCCTGGGCCCAGGCCAAACGTCAAACTTTTCAAAAGACGAACCAAACTCGAGTTTGGGTCGACCTAAGTTAAGTTAAGATCGTCTGTTGGGACCTGCGTCGAACTTAGGACACGTCGTACCAATAAACTGAATCGTACCACAAAGCAATTTAATAAATTTTCTCTATAGAACAAGGCTAAAAATATACATTATCATACAAATTTTTAATTTATTAGTTTAGTTCGTCGCATGTGAAGATCGACGTTTGTCCTGGACTCGATCTTCAGACGTTCTATCCTTCTGAAGGAGGCGGATAGAACGTGTTGGACGATCCAAACTCACGTCAAACTTATCATTAACTTAACTCACTAAGTTTGGTTCGTCTCATGAAAAGTTCGACGTTTGGCCCAGCCCTAAGTGATTTTGAGAGAGAGAGTCCCACCACCTTTATGGTCGTGAAGGTAGTTACTTTCTAACCAAACGACGCTAAATGCTTCAGCAATTTATTCGGATGTCAAAATAAGCATTACATTCAGAGCTGCACTACTGGTAGCCTCCCACTCAGGCGTTTTTAGGGGAGCTCGTATTTCTTCCCTCCCCACAAACGCCTGCTCAACCCAGAACAACATTCCTTTCCCATTGTTATATTCGCGTGGTAAGTGACCAATCAACGGTTTTTAAATGAAGTGTTAACAGGCTAAACATGACTCATAAGCTCATGATAGTGAAAAAACGTGACCCTACAGTTACCGTTTTCCTTCTTTTCTTTACTTCGCCAAGGTTATGCAGTGCACGGAGAATTCTAAAGTCAAACTGACATTTATTAGAGGTCATGAAGGTTTCTCAACGTTTCATGCAGATCGCGTAATTATCGGGTTACCCTGCGGTCAAGGTAAACTTTCCAGAATTTGGAAAGTACAACGTGATTGGCTAACCGTGGGAAAGGAATGTTGTCCTCGGTTGAGCAGCCGTTTGTGGGGAGGGACGAAATACGAGCTCCCCTAAAAACGCCTGCGTTGGAGGCTACACTACGGGGAGAGGAGGAGGTTATTTAGGAACTCATCTCCCTTTACAACGAAGCAGAAGTTGCACTACAGGGGGTTAAATACAATCGGAAAATGCCTATGAACACTTGCAACAAGGAATCAATGGGAATGCAGAGGAAGAGTTCGTGTGAAGGACCTAATTTAGTGATACACGTCCGTAAACGATTTCTCTTGCTTTTTTAGATACCTAGCTTGTGGTTGTGCGGATTTGGATAGTTTCCCTATTCTTGTTTATGAGGTAGGCTACTTCGTTTTCAGTGGTTGACACGGTGTAATATTCGTGTGGAAATGTCAGATAAACATGTCAAAGAGAGAGACATAAAAGTCTATAACGCATCAATTCTGATAAATTGAGCACATTCGCACAGTAGGTTTTTATGTTCTAATGAAAAATTAAGCTACATTTTTGTCATTAATTTTTTTATATTTCCCTGTACGTGTCTCTGAAAATGTATCTCTCAAAAGCTCTGTCAAGGGATGAAGTATCATAAAGTATGTATGTATGAAACACGGCTACAGAATTTGCTCGACCAGAAGTAGTTCATGGTCAATCAGAAACACGGAAACCAGTGATTGAAATCTCCGGTGTCTTTCTGGGGGTTTTTTGTTTGTTTGTTTGTTTATGTAACTTTGCAACGATATCGCCGTCATAACCTCCAAATAAAATCATAGGCAGAAATATTCTCACCCTGAGTTGTGGTATACGACAACAAAACATGTTTTTGGCCAACTCCAAAAAGAGAAGGCCCCCTCTCCTAAAGTACAATCAGTTTTGGGGAACATTCAAGGACCGTAAATAATCTACTTGACGCCCCCCCCCCCCCCCCCCCCCCCCCCACCCCCAAACCTCCCCCACCTCTACACACCCCCCACCCTCCCTCCTCTCCCCCCACCCCCCTCCCACCCCACCCCCCCCCCACAACACATCCAAACACTCCCCCGTCCCAACCAACACAACCACAGCAGCCACGCAAAACACCACACCGACCCCCCGCTCTCCACTAAACAAAAGGCAAAAATTCTCCCCCCCGTGATGTTGGTTAACCAAAAAAAAAACGTTTTTGGGCAAACCCAAAAAAAAAAGGCCCCCCCCCCCAAAAAGCAACACCTTTTTGGGAACACTCAAAGGCCCTAAAAAATCCCCCTGTCCCCCCCCCCCCCCCCTCCCCCTCTAAAATATACGCCTCTTGTATAATAAACGCCCCCTTTACGATGTCTCTCCGTCCGCCCCCTGTCTAATAGATGCCCCCATGAAAGTTACTCCAAAATACTAAGAATCAGCAAAAGGAGGAAAGTCATTCAATTTGTCGAGTTCCTTGGTTGTTTAACAAGGGTTTGCGCATTGCATCTTGTTTAATGTCAACATCGAAGCTGAGATTTGAAATTGATAGACTGGGTGTTGCTCTTTAGATAAAATTCCTTGATATTTTAACTGAAAGCATATTAGTTTTGTAGCTGTTGTCAAAAAATTAATGACAATAAACGCCTTTCTATTAAAAGCTCCAAAATTGACATAAACACCCCGGGCGTCTATTAGATCATTTACGTTATGTTGTAATACTGGCATTCTTTCTTTGTTCACACTTTGCAGGTTCCTTCGTACGAGACTCGTGCCTATCTCCCAGGACATTTCAGCATCATTTATGACTTGTGCTGGTCTCCCGATGATGAAGAACTCTTGTCAGCTTCATCTGATGGAACAGTTAGGTATGGATCCTTCTTACCATTCTCCTTTCAACACTAAGAGAGAGATCACTGCCGCGTGTAGGTTGGTGAAGAGAACTTATTCGTGTCATTGATTTGTTTGTTTCAGTTCTGATCATTTAACGCTTTGTAGTTGTTTACATTCATTCGCGCGCGTTCGCCATTATTTCCAAGGGGAAAATAGGGCGGCAGGCGATCAAATCTACTGTGCGGTTCTCAGCAGCCCCTGTTTATTGCTTAATTTGGCTGATGCATCACCAATTCCATATTCGGATAGTTTCTCCGAACGGAGCCCTTTAAAGCGAAGACCACGGTATAACGAATGAGTTACAGTAAAATGTATAGAACAAGACTCCAGATGTTTAGCGGTTTAACCTTCCGTTATAGCGACCACATTTTAGGGAGTTAAAGCAGCGACGCTTTTGAGCAACTCAAGTCAACCGGAAGTGGAAATTTTGCACTCTTAGGCCATGAGTTTGAACAAATTTTCTAGCAGATCGTCTATATCAGAGTAAAACCACTTGCCAGAGCAGGTTTGGTAGCATCAAGGCATAAAATGGAAACGTACTCACTTCCGGTTGAAGTGCGTCGCTCAAAAATTTTTTCTTAGTTCTCTGGTTCTTCGTTTCATCGAGGTATGTTACGCTGGAGATGAGATCTCATACTGGAGAGTTAGCAGTTACCTTGGTCACGGAAGCATAGCTGAAGAAACCTTGTAAAACATTGTGTGCATCACGTCTAGTTTTCCTTATTGTTTTAAATTAATCCACAGATCCTGGGACATGAAGACGATGATGACGTCATCCATCAAGCTTTTCCCCCACCCCTGTTTTGTGTACGCTGCGCAATATCATCCAGGCTCCCCTCATATCATAGTAACTGGGGGCTATGACCACTATTTGAGGGTCTGGACTAAACTGAGTGAAGGCCTGAATGGCAAGGTACGCTTCGGCAGTGATAACTTGGTGATAACTCTTAAAGCCATCAACAGCAGTCATGTACCTTAACCGCGATACCTTAACCGTGAAACAATGGGAAATAATGATAAGCAATGATGTCTTGTTATTTTCTGCCACCACTGAGGAAACACCTTACAAGCAGCTCCTACATTACCATCAACAGTGACGCGACAGATTGTTCATGAATGGGTCACTGACAGGAAGCTGAAGGACGTTTTCATGCAAGGCCCTGCCAAATCTTGATTTTCTCTTGATTAGTGTAGTATTTAAGTGTTCTTGTCTTAATCATAATGGGATTGAAATCATCTCGTTCGCAGTTCACAAGAGATCTGATAACGAGATTAGGATTCAGCTTCCAATATGAGAAATGCTTGTTAGAGAAGGCCTGGTCCCAAAGGGGTTGTAATTTAGTGCCGTTGTAATAGAGTGAAGCCTTTATCTTTCCTGAAAGTAATATGCCATTCCTTGCAGCTTCTGAGAGAGATTGAAGGACACAGTGGCTTCATCAACAGCGTCTGTTTTGATGAAGAAGGTAAGAGTTGTATAGGGCGCACCGAATTATCTGTTTTTTGCTGACAACTGTCATTAACTTTGTCTTTTGTCTTGACCTTATAAATAAAATACGGGGGAATCTCATGAACGTAAAATAATGTGCTATTTTTAGGGGGTCTAACCAGTTTTACAGGTTTTCTACTTATTCTTAGGTCGATGACTGTCTTACTTTTTAATTGGTTGACTACAAACTTTAAAAGTATTCATTGGTTGATTCATGTTGTCGAAGGAATAAGCGCTAACTCACCTGAGACTTAAAGTCACCGATTTTGATTTGAAATTCCCCTCGCATTTAATTCATGGCATAAAGACAAAGGCTATGACTTCATCGGCGTTAATGTATATTACCACAAAGTAATGAGGTTCCTCTAAAGAACGGATAATTAGGTGCTACCTATACTTCTAAGACTGTAATACAACTTAAAAATTGATTTTATTTTAAGCTAGTTGGTCAGTCCGTCTTATTCGTCATTCCCTACGACATGAATCAACGTGTGGTGATGTCACATTTTAGGATTATTGGTTGTCACTATAGTCAAGAATTGTCCCAAGCATTTTGTCAGCTATTTCTATCGGTTCGCTGAAGTTTATACGCATCTTCGTTTAGAGTTACTGTTCAGCCATATTTTGGGCTGATTCACCAGTATCATCCCTACTCTAACCCTCGGGCGAATTTTTGCCAGATTCGCCATTTTCGCCATAGCTGGCTGGTTTTCACTAGCTATTTTCGTCATAATCGTCATAAGCACTTTTGACAACCAATTTGAATATTTGCCAAACCCATGGCGAATTTAAATTTTTGCCAGCCCCCTGGCGATTTTTCGCCAGATTCGCCATTTTCGCCATTGCGTACATTTTTCAACATTAATGCATAAATACGTATACTTTGCCTTGCTTTGAAGGTGCTAAGATGTTCACAGCGGACAGTAAGGGCCTTGTGATTATTTGGAATTCATTCATTCATCCTCAGATGGATACCAAGAGGAAAAGGAGAGGCACTGGAGGTAAAATTTAAAAAACACCTTTTTTCATCCCCTAAACTGGCTCCTTGTCTTCGCAAGGGCCTATTTTGCGCTATAAACCATTCATTTATGCTGCTTCTGTACAAAAAAGAGCTCTGTCGTGTTGAGTGCTTTACTGGCCGACGTTATCCCTTTTACGTCCTTATTTCCTTTTCATGCAACAGCCGTCCTTGAGATGGCACAAACCAATTAGAGTGGTTTTCGTTTGAGTGTCGTAAAACCAAAACCAAAGTAATTACTCTGGCCAATCACATAGGACACAGACAATACATTGAACCAATCAAAACTCGAAGTAATTACATGTGGCTGACGCAATCGCGTCACAATTGGCTTTGGTTTTACTTCTGATTGGATGAAAAGGTGGCGCGAATCTTTTAAGCCAATCGCATCGTGTAGAAAGTGCAAAACCAATTACTTTTCGACACTCAAATGAAAACCGCTCTAGCCACCCCATAAACCAGAGCTACAAATAACAGTCGCTCATCGGACGGTGGGCGACGAAATTTAAACTGTAGCTGTCTTGATGCTCGGACAAAGTAAATGACTAACACCATCATTTTGTACATGAATGAAACCTTCTTTGAGCGCAGGACTGTGAGTTGTCGTTATGGCACTCGGCGCCTATGATGGTCAAGTCTCGTTAAAAATGTGTAATGCATCCTTGTTAGATTCCGATAACATTTTTTTTAACCGACCAAAGTGGTGACTTGAGGCAGTCATATGTCCTTCCCAGAAAAAAAAATTATTTGTATCTCTGATAAAGGGGAGCATGAGTAGTCGTAAAAGCTTTCGGTACGACAGGTGGCAAATATATGACTCTGATTATAGATGGATATCATCGACCATTCGTCGCTAAGGCCTGGGCCAATCGTCGAACTTTTCATGAGACGAACCAAACTTAGTTAAGTTCATGACAAGTTCGATGTCTGGCTCAGTTAAGTTCGCCTGAGTGAGTTTGGATCGTCGAACACGTTCTGTCCGTCTGCTTCTGACGGATAGAACGTCCGAAGATCGTCTCCGGCACAAACGCCGATCTTCACATGCGAAATTTGTTTGATTATGTATATAAAATCGTTCGGGAGAAAATCTTTACCGATCTGATTCATTTGATTGGTTCGACGCGTCCTAAGTTCGACGTCTGACCCAGCAGACCATCTGAACTAAATTTCGGTCGACCCAAATTAGAGTTTGGTTCGTCTCATGAAAATTTCGACGTTTGACCTAGACCTAAACCATTCCACCCTAACCATCCCAGAAATCACTGCGCCGAAAGCCTCTTCCCACTCTCCCTATGATTTATGGAGCACCGAATGTCATGAATGTCTTGACGTCGTCAGGGTACTCAGAATTCTCTTTCGTTCGTTTTCTATTGGTGTTGTTGTCTTTAAAAATTGGGCATAAACAGTTACGTCGATTCATTTACTTGTGCAACAGTTGGTTAAAAAACCTCTCTAGTTAGCTGGGATGGTACTGTAAACTTTGAACAATCAGTGTCAATTTACAGTAATAGTATACAATGCTATTAGAAGTGTAGTTGCTTACTAAGGACGTCCGTGAAGAGGAATACTTCTGCTACCCTTTCCGTAGTAAACTGTTCATTATTTGATGTTTTTCCAGGTTATGTATATGATTGGACGTTGTTTAAGAAAGTAGCCATTGATGAGCTTCAGGTGTGTTCCGTTTCAATCTTTTTTTTTCACCTATGACATAAATCCAAAGAAGATAATTCTTATTTATAATTGACCTTTGCTACCAGAAAACGTGTACCGAACAAATTAACAGTTTTTTTTCGCGACAGGAAATATTCCTTGAATGTAGTTGCGCAAAGCTTTGATAGCGTTTAGAATTTTGAATCCGAAAACGGCCTCTCGGTCACTTCCAGGTGTAGTGTACAGAGGGAGTATCTAGCCTTCCAGCCTTTTGAGTAACCCTTCTTAAAGGATTGATAACTGATTCCTGTCTTTATGATTTATAGGCCTATGGTTATGCTTCATTCATTGTACGCCGCCGAAACTGTTGTCCAACAGACCCTTCCACGATTTTTTTTGTTTTGTTTAGTTTCAACTTTTACCATGAACAAAATGGAAAATCCGTCGACACCAGTTGAAAGAGCGTCCTAAAATTAGTAAAATTGCCAAATTTGAAAGTGATACGTCTTAAGCGAGCGGAGATATAGCTCCGGAAAGTTGCGAACATTTATAGACGTTTGAATGGTGGGGGGCACCACCACCACCACCACTACAAAAAAAAGTGTTTAAAATTTCGCGTTTTTGAGTAGCTATTTCGTCGTTAGTTTTCAACAAATCACTTTCGAACTTTGCAATTTTACTAATTTTGAGGCTCTTTTTCCAGTGGTATCGACGGATTTTCCCTAACTTGTCCACGTCAAAAGTTGAAAAAAAAACTGTGGAAAGTTCTCTTTCCTTATGTAGCCACTTACTTGACTTTCACTCGACAGGGTAATGTGATCAACTCTCTCACCCTTCATCCCAATGGACGTAAACTGTTGGTTCACGTACGTAACAGCGTGCTGTGCATGCTGGACTTGAGAAGCTACACTGTCATGCAACGGTATCTTGGTGCTTCCAACTTCAAAGAACACATCCGCAGCACTCTCACCGCATGCGGCTGCTTTGTTATCGCGGGCTCTGAGGATGGTTATGCATACGTGTGGAATACGGAAACAGGTCAGTGGAATAGTCCAGTTTCGTGTTCGCTAAGACCGCTGAATAAAAGAATTGAAGACGCTTTTTTAACAGGGTTAGCCTTTAGCGAGATGACTTGTTTATCACTCTGACTATTGGATATTTTAACAAATACTTTTTGTCGAGGCTAAGTCTGTAGGAGTGCGTCGCCAAGCTTTTTAATTCGAAAAATGAAAACCCCACTTGTAAACACGTACCGCATCTACCATTCAAATAAAATTTAGTGGTTTTATTTGAGGGTTTCGTAAAACCAAAGTACAGTTGAACGTCTGCACAAAGGCCACTTAGGGGACAGAAGAAAGAGACCGTTGCAATGAGTTGGCCGTTGTAGAGAGGTTTTAAACAAGAGTCAATGTATAAACAGTCCGCTGGGACAAAAGGAAGTGGCAGTTGTGGAGAGGTGGCCGTCATTAGAGGTTCCACTTAAGTCAATATTCTTAGTGTATGGTCAAAGAAATCATTCTGAGGCTCAGCAATGAATAATGCATTTTTCTTTTGTTTTATTCCCCCAAGCCTCGGAGCCAAGTATGAATTTCAATATATCAAAAATGATCTATTGTGACTTTGCGTGCTATTTCAGGTGATCTAGTTTCTGTGTATACCTCACTCGGATATCATCACGCGGTTTCCGATGTACAGTTTCACCCGTTGGATCACATCATAGCTTTTTGTTCCTTTGGGGATTCACACCCTGTTCTTGTTTATCATTACGATCCTAAAGGTAAATATTGTATTTTGGTTGTCGCTTGCGTGAGGTGACTGAGAACAGCTGAGAACAGGGGGTGGAGTGGGAAGGCCGATGAATAAGAAGGAGAGACAGAGGGGAAACTACGGGGTATGGAGGGGGGGTGGGTAACGAAGGACTTTACCTCGAAAAGGTAGTAATGGCAAACATTCGCACTAATTATTAAGATGTTCGGGGATCAAAAAACGTTTTCTACGGGTTCTCCCATTGCTTAACAAGGACATTACTATTAGTAAATTTACAACCAAAGGCAGTCGTAACGTGCCTGTTGTCCTCTGACGTCATAGATTTTCCAGTTTTGCCCGCTCAGCGACTTTGGAAGCAGTTTCATTGTAATATGCGATTGGGTAATATGACCTTAATAAGCAAGTCCGAGCGCGGCTATTAAAAAAGGGGTAATGTAATATTGTGCAGTATAACGTGTTTTATCTGTTGTTGTTGTTTTTGTTGTTGGTTTTGTAGTTATTGTTTTCTGCAAACCCGCCAGGAGCAAACCCTCTTCAGGATCATGTAAATTTCTCTTCACCTTAATCATTCTTGATAACGCCTAAGTTTATTAAATTCCTTTTCCAGCTGCTAAAGAAGAAGCTAAAAAATTCATGACTCCTCCAGCGACGCCATCTAAACAAGCTACTACGTCACAGCAGAGCACAGCTACTCCAGATGACGTCACCAGACACGTGCAAATGGCTGACGTGGCCGGTGACGTTCTACGCATGCGCAAAGTCAAGCAGAAACTCGACTCAGTGTTGGTAAGTTTGAAGGTTCCGTTTTTACTTATATATACAGTGGAACCCTGTTAATACAGACACTTAGGGGACATATCATAGTGCTCCGTTTTATCCGGGTGTCCGTATTAAGTGGGTTCTTAGAAAACGACGTCACGGACACATTTTTTATCGAAAGAAAGACACAAAGGAGCAGTGACTGAAGCGAAAAGCTACGGCAGTGAAACTTGTGGGTGTGATAGGAGGTAGAACACGTTATTAAAGAACCACAGTGTGAATGCAAACACCGGACTAATCAAAATCAGACATGTCATGCTATTTTACTACTGTTTTTGAGTAATGAAATCCTATTAACGCTAAGAAATCGGTCATTAGTTGAACAGGGTACAAAAATGACAAATATCATGAAATTGCGCAGATACCCCGTGTTCGTGAAGCAAGGTTGGCGATGTACGAGAGTCTGTGACTCGGGACACAGAAAAGTCTTCATTGACCGTATTAACCCGTGTCCGTATTAAGCAGGTTAAATTTACAGAAAAGAAATGAGCTTTTCGTTTGGACAAACGAAACTGTTCGTTATATACGGCTGTCAATATGGCGGGGTTGTATAAATAAATGGACATGCACATGTTATGTTTAAGAGAGAGAGACCTTTCTTTATTTTCATCAGGGACGGTAGTCCATTCAGAAGCTTGAGAAATGCTATCAGTTGCGGCCCTTTCTGTCCCTGTAGCTTTTAAGTCCTGTAATAAAAACATTGGCTCACATCAATTGAGTTCTTAAAGTCAACTCATCACCGTAGAAAGATTCAAATCTTACTTTTCGAGCACTAGCTCTTCGTCAGAGGGAAGTTTGACTGTTTCCATCGATGCAGCATCACATTTTCTTTTGAAACCGACTCTTTCCTAACTCGTCGAGAAACATCCAGACGGCTTTCTTCGTTATTTTACAATAATACAGGCTTTTGACAATGTTTTGCTTCCCGCCTGGTCACAACAGACAGGAGTGTGACAACGCGTCATATTTGCATATGTCTTGTTATTCGTACTTTCATATGTCGTTTAACAATGTATCTCTAGGAAACACCATCATCACCAAACTACATGGATACGGCAATGATGAGAACCCCAGGGGCCGATAGCCGGATGTTCCAGACCCCAGGGAGACCCGATAGTGCTGCATACCCAGGTTCCACACAGACCTCAAAGAGGCCTGGTAGCGTTACTTTCCAGTTTCCAGAAAGCACCGGCAGAACATTCCGTCAGGGCATGGGCACTAACGTGAGCCTTTCAACCTGGGGTTCAGACTTCTCTCCGGCAGGGTATACCCCGTACGGGGCAACAGCACATGGCCCCACGCCAGCACAGGTTAGTCGCGGAAGAGGGTCGATTCGGTGTAGAACTTAAAGAGAAAATTGTTTGATAAGTAAACAAGTCGAAAGAGACGAGCATTCTCTCTCCCAGTACAAAACAGACTCACCCTTAACAGCGAAGAGGAGCCTTTGATGCCTAGTTTTTTTTTAAGCTGCGATCCATTTTCATCCTGGTTATCAACAGCCAAAGACACGCACTCTTACTTAAAAGACCAAGTAGTAGAGTAATTGTAAACAAAACAAAACTATTATCTTTGATTTTCAGGGCTGTCATTAAGATTTTGAGTTGCTGTTTTCTCAAGGAAAGTGTGGGTCATTGATCTCCCAAATCCTCCTATATTTGTTATGTTTCCTATATTTGTTATGTTTCAAACTTAGAGTAGCCGGTTGATTTTACTGCGTGGCGGTATATTAAGCCGGCTGCTGACTACAAATGACAGCCCTGGGATTTCTACTGTGATTCCAATGTGCTTTTACGGTTTAGAGCGATACCAACTTAGCTGTCGAAGTTGAGTTGCTTTTTTTTTCTTGTGAATTTTAGCTTGCCTATGATCCTCCTCTGTCTCCTCATGCGCAGCAGCACCTGGGGGCGTCTGGTCGTTTTGAGTCGTTAAAGTTGTTTTCTCAGAACAGAAGATATGGCAGTCCGCAGCAGCCAGACTTAAATGGACCGCTGCCTTACCAAACACCTGGTAAGAGGCTGATTATGATTTGAATGTCTTTAGTCATGATGAACTTGTTTCTAAGAGCATGAAAGAATTGCTCAGTTTTGAGAAACAATAGGGCCATTTATACGAGGAAAAATAAGACGCGAACTGTACTATTTATACGAGCATGTCTTATCTAATAAGACGCGTCTTAGCTAAGCCGCGTCTTATTTTAGACGAAATGTGCCGTTTATACAGAAAGTTCGCGTCTTATGTAAGACGCGTCTTATTTTTCGTCGTATAAATGGCCCTAATAAGTACGACCCAAAAGTAATGAAAGGCAATATTCATTTTTAGGGGGTAAAATTCCGTCCGGTACAAAAATTTGTTTAAAGTTAAAACTCTAAACTACATTTTTGCTATTCATAATTACAACATTGAAATTGTTTAACTATATTAAAAACCTGTTTTTTATTAATGTCGTGCCTTAAATTAGTCAGAGATTCTGCTTGCCTTAAAGTTTGAGGAAGACTTTTCCAAAGAGCTGCACCACTATAGCGAACACTACCACGAAGGTAGTTTATGCCTGGCTGTGTAATAGTCAGTTTATTTATAGAATCTCGAAAAGTGTATGGAGTAGTAGGTCTTAAAACTGACTGATTGACTAGTCCAAACGTCCAGGCTACGGTGACTTCAAAGGCTTAACGCAATTTAGGAGGAGCCCCCTTTTCTTCTCCTCGAGGTGGTTTTGTTCATAGGGTGTCCCCATCCCTTTTCCATGTTGTTTAAGTCATTAAAAAGTGAAATCAAATCCCAACATTGAACAGGGCAATGGGGTATTTCAACGATTGTAGCTGGTGAGCGGCCCAGTCTTTGATCCTATAAATCCCTACTGAGACAGCTTACCGGCATAAGCGTGTGACAGGAGAAAACTTGTATCTTATCTTTACTCAGTGCAAAGTTAATGTCACTTACGCCTTATTTGCTAGCATTTTATTTTAAAAATGTGCAAGTTTCTTTTTCTGTGGCCTCTTATGTGTGCCTGACTGCCTTCTGAGGAATTGAAAACTTCAGCTGCATGTAACTTTTTCCTTTTTTTTTCCTAGTTGGAATGTCGTGGATGAAGAGACCTTCGTTGAGTCTTAACGTGGGCGAAACTCCTGGATCCTTGGTTTGTTTCTTGTTTTGTTGTTTTGCTGCTGTTCCGTTCAATATTAGTTCTTACATATGATTTTCAAAAATTCATTATTTCATCGTCATCCTTTCAAGAGTTTATAACGAACCAACTCAAAGACCTGCTCCCAGTTTGCTTGATGGCTTAATTATATAGCACTGAACAGTCAAAGGTATATCGCAGAGGTGAAAGGTTAGAATCCCTTACAATTCTGATTTTTTCAGGCATTCTTTTCGTAACTGAAAAAGTTGCGTCTATAATTGCGATGATCTTCTTTTATTTAGGGTGCAACTTGTTAAACAAAAACACCAGTCGCTCGTCGTTTGTTGAGCAACAAAAGTTTAAACGCGTGTCATTAGCTTTGGTACGATGGGGCTGCGCTTTCTATCGCCAAGCGAGAGCTCCGCTAGAATCGGACAACGTGTTTGCAACTTGCGTAACAAGTGTACCCTTACTACTCGATGAGGTTTGACTAAATGGTTGATGTTGTTTGTTTTGCAGAGTGTCTCGCAGCTTAACGCTGCTAAACCGAAATTCACATTCACGGATTCTCCGGCGAGTCATCTCCTGCAGCAAACTCCACAACCCAGGAAAAAGGTTCAGAACTACAGCTGTAGCAAAATTGATCTTCACTAGTTTTCCGCTGAGTGTTACAAAGAGTGATTTTTAAACTGTCTCTTAAGGTTATGATGCAAAGATGAAGAGAACACTCTTCGATAGACTAAAATAATTATGGCCAGTAGCCACAGCGGGGCTTTACCTTGCCGCTTCTTAGTATTCTGAAATATTTAACGCTGAACACGTAGTGAAAAGACGTCATCATGCAGATTGTCTATGATCAGTGTAGTCCCTAACCTTCAACCGCATTGTATCAGCTGAACTGTACGGCCAGATGTTTTAGAACTCCAATCAACATATTTCAAAGCCTTTTACATTCTTCGATATGTTTAAAAAGCTGTTTATGTCTTGGGAAGCTAGTAAGGAGTTTTGGAATGACAGCTATATACCGGGTAAACAAGGTGTATTTGTTCTTTACCTTTTCCATATAACAGGTTATAGCTATGTATCCATATGACGCCAACAGAGCGGACGAGCTCACCATTCAACCTGGTGACGTCATCAGCGTGCTTTACATCGATAATGAAAACTGGTGGATGGGCGAATTGGCTGACGGGAGACAGGGTTATTTTCCATCAAATTATGTGATGGAACAAGGTGAGTCGTGCATTTGTTGCTGCCATTTGGCCACTCACAGAAAATACAAGGAACCAATCAAAACTGACCCAAAAAGGAAAACGTTGTCAAATGTGGGAAAAGACGTAGCCTTTCTTTTCCTGGAACCGGTTTCTTGGTTAGAAACGGACGATCCGCTTTTAAGCGGGGGAAAATAACGTTCAATTCCAGTTGAGAGTAACCAAGCAATCGATGTGGCGTCATCTGTAATGTATATTGCTGTTTATTTCTGACGTTGTATTCCTGTCTTTTGCAGAAGATTTAGAGTCTGAAAGTGATTTAAAGGAAACAACTGTACCGAGTACCATGAGCGATACAAAACGGGAACCAAAAGCCAACACTCAGGTCAGGAAGAATCACAGGCAATAGGTCATTTCCGAGTTGCTCTAAGCCTCTGTTTTAAAGCGAGGCTAAATGCGAAATGATTTATGAAATTTTTCTCACAAGAAAGGTTTTGCACTTAGCCTCGTTTTGAAAGTGAGAGTTTTTGGAACTCGGATTGGTGTATTATAATGATTGGTGGGGGAAGGAGTGGAAAATTAACTGTCAGTGGAACCTCGATGTAACGAATGTAAAGAAACTCCTTCGTTGTACCGAGAACGTCTTTATATAAAGGCTCTTTAGATCGAGGTTCCACTGTATATTCTTTAATTTTTACTTTATATCTTTTCTCTTCGCAGATGACGGCGGTAATTAGCAAGTCTGGTGATTTAAAGATCGTATCAGGACCTGAGGACAGCAGTGACGCGGAAAGTAAACTTAACTCAACGTAAGCATTACAACGTTCGAACTGAACGATACAAAATCTGTTTGGAAATTTTGTCATGATTATATCATTCCATTTGTAATAATGTGAAGTTGCGTGGAACAATTTAAAGGATGAATTATTGGTCACTTCTATGTTCCTGGTAGCATGTTAGAAGCGCCCGTTCACACCAACGATTGAACATGCTTAAAACCTGTCTGGTTCAGCATGGTTTTAAATCATTTTGCTTACAAACACTTCTTAATTAGGTTTGCTGAAAGTAATGGCAGTGAAACATCAAGTGGTTTTTAGTTTTTGACTTGACACCAATTTGTAATGTTTAGCAATCTGCTAGGACAAAATTTTGTTAAGGGACAAAAACATTTTTAGTTGGGGTGAATGACGCATGTCTCCCTTACGGACATATGTCTCCAACTATCATTGGCTGATAAGAAATCACGTGGCTTTGGCAAATTCAAATGTTTCCCGTGCGGGAAAAAATTCAGTGATGTTAACCACGCGAGGTAAAAAGCATGAAATTTGCTCTTTGTGTTTGTTCTTTTTATGAGGTTGTATAATGAAATTGGTCCTCTCTGGAAACGGCTTTCCTATTCCTCACAAAAACGTCGGGACACGGGACTATTATAATAAGTACATGGTCCTTTAATGTCTGTACTACTGCATCATCAAGCGATTGTTCGCAAAGAATGTATTCGAACTGTAGTTGACAAAAGTCTTATTTGTTCTCACTACTTTCTCCTTGTTGTAGGGCGCGCCACAGACGAAGACATCGGGAAAAAGAAAAACAACAAAGATCTGAAGAAACCCCTGTGAAAAAGGCGTCGCCTAGGAGAGCCAAAAAGAGATAGCATTTACTTGCCCATAAATTTCTAATCGTCTTTGTTCCCAAATTGGCCCTCTGCACGAAACGGTCACATGGAACAAAAACACCTTCCTGGATGGCTTACAACAGAGTGGGGCAAACATAAAACCGATATGAAATCATTCAAAAAGCTAATACGGTTGAATCTCTCCATAATGGCCGCCTTGAGGACAGTAGAAAGTGGCGGTTGTGGAGAGATTTAAACAAGAGTCAGTGTATGAACTGTCCGCCAAAAAAGTGGCCGTTGTGGAGAGGTGGCCTGTTAGTGGAGGCTCGGCAGTATCTTACTTTGTCGAGGTCCCACAGCGTTTCTGTTCGCTTTCCTGTAAGCTGTTTTTATACCAAGTCAGGGGCACCCAACACAGTTTTCTGTAAAATATCTGTTCGGAGAAGCATAAATTACCTAAAACTTTCTATACTTTGAGGAAGGCTAAGAATTTCTACATGACCGTTCCATTCATGTGCAATTTTCGAAACTTATTTTAAAAATTCCCTATGATTTTCTGAGGTTTAAGTTTTCGCAGTTCACACCCCAGATTAAGTAATTTTTCACAGAAAAAGGAAACCCAGCATTTTCGGATTCGAAAATGCGATGGAATGAGGAATCAGAAAAGTTCTCACTTTCAAAAGACTTTAAATTGCATCTAAAATTTTCGGGAAAATAATACTGAAGCCCTGGTAATTTCGAAAAGACTCAAGTTCCCCTAGGATGGCCGAACAGATATAAATTTTATAGCGACGATTAAAATGTATTTCTACAGATCTAAAAGTACTCTGGATAGCCTAAAAAGTGTTTTCAATGCATTTAGGAGGAAACCATCGTTGGGTGTCCCTGCCAAGTAACCGTTTCGTGTAAATGACCCATCGAAATTTCAATTAACAGTTCAGAAAATGAGAGATAAGTAGCGCTAATAAGGAGAACTTCATAAAAGCCTGCGTGAATGGTTAGAAATTTAACAACTCCCTAAAAGTTAGTAACATATCAGTCCTCCGTTCAAAAAATTCAATGAAGTAAACTGAAGTGTTAGCTGTGTAGAGTTGGGGTAAACGCTATCACCAGAATACAAATATTTTGGAATTATATTTCCGTGTTAAAATTGTATGCTATTTTATAATAAAATCGGATCGGTGCTCTTCTCTAAAATTTTAAGCATTCTCTTGTAAAACTTGTAAAACGAATTTTCTGCTCAGTGCAAGACATTTTTGTAAAAGAAAATGAAATAAAAAATACACTACTTCAAGTTCTTTCAGGGAGAGAATTCAATGTCTAGTTTTAAGCTGTCCTTTTCTTAATTTGTATTTATATACTTTTTATTTATTCACAATGATTTCCCATCTCTGAATATCGAAAAATAAGGTCTTGGTCGCTGCAAGGTAAAAGTGTCATCCTTTCCGTTCACAATCCCATATACATTGTAGGAGCGTGTCGTGTTCAAAAAACGAATCTGAGAGTTGATATTTGCACCTATATAGTTAAGATACTAATGCGGTTGTCTTTGGCCAAATGGCGTTAAGCTCGTGAGGGGGTGAACGGAAACATGTAGCACCCCGGTTCTTTGTTTACGCTATACCCTGAGAAAACAGTCCACATTTCGTGACGCCATCGCTGGTTTCCATGCGAAATGACGTCTGAGCAACGACTGAAGGAATCCCATACTGTTGACGCGTCACTTACCAGATCTAGGCCCTTCTGACAGGCTGAAGCAAATTTTCCACATGGCACAACCAACCAGAAGCACTGACACGTCATCAGCATGGAATTTCTGGCGCTCTTTTCTCAGACGTTATTTGGTGGGGAAACCATTGGTGGCGTTGCAAAAGGGCAGCTGTTTTCTCAGGTTATTTTCCTTCTCTTGTCGTCATCGCTATTGTCTCTTTTGGGCATATTCACATTTGTGTGAGGTTTCCCAAGGGTTCAGCATCTCTAATAGAGTGTTCGGAAACCTGAGGTTTAAGTAGACGTAGAATATAGGGCTCACAAAAATTTAACTGGCTTCAAAGTGAAAAGGCCACAAAAACAGTTTTTGTCTGAAACGCGGAAGTTATTTACATCACAAACCGAATTCAGTGAATGTTGACCGGGGCAAAAGAAATCAATTAACAGGGTCAATATTGGCTTTCGCGATTGAAACGGTATTTGCTCAATATGTGGCATTAACATCGCCTTTTTACATTCAAAGTAGTCCACGATATAGACTGAAGTAAACAGTTACGACCAAGCATACTGTCAGCGGAAACATAGGGGAGAGAAATCCGTTCCAGAAAGCCTAGGTCACCTTTCGAATGCATGTAACTAGTAGCATCATAGCAAAGGAAACAAAGGGAATGACTGTTGAAGGATCCAGGTAACGATTATGAATTTCTCATGTTAAAATGGCGTAACAGAGGGCGGGAAAAACAATGCCAGTTTTTTGTTTGTTTGTTTTTTGGTTTTTTTTTTTGAGTTAACACAATAAGAGTGTTCTACAGGTGTGATGATGGCAACTGATAGGAACTTAGCCTGGTCTTTTAAAACTGTTGAGCACTAGTAGCATGCTTAACAGAATGAGGGAGACTATTTCAAGCAAGATCTCTTGTTACAGGTGTTAGAACACACGAACATATAGCAACAACTGCCACATCACGCCCTTATCAGCCATAGTTGCGCTTAATTTCGTACCCAGATCTCTTGTCGACGTCGCTTCGTCAACAAGAGATCTGGTTACGAGATTAATCTGCAGGCTCTAGATCTCTGAGAACTGATTCTAGAAAGGAACCGCTCGCAGAAACATTTCATTTTCATCCCGGCGGTGACCAAGATCTTCATAACCAAGCGAGCGCTCGCGTTCTGATAAAACAAACTCCAGTCTGTGAAAAGGAGGTGAACATAAGGCAAGGTTTTCCAAAGTGAGCCAGCCTGGTTGATAAAGCTCATATAAAAAGGCAACAGGACAACAACATCTTTATTTTTATTGTCGTGGCAATCTGATCCTTGCAAAGGGTAGAGAAAAATGCATTTATTTACTGAAGAAAAACAGTCTAACATACTTTAAGTAACCATCGTATTCATAGGCCTACTCTGGGACCTTACGTCACCTTAAATCGCATAACATTTTGAGAAAATTTTCCTAAAATCGCAAGCCAGTTCCAGGTGTTTAGATAGAGCGCGGCGGGGAAACTAGTTTTTTCCCTCGTCAATCGCCTAAAGTGGCCTAAAATGACATTAATAAGTCGCCTTAATTTATGGCAAATCAGTAAGGTTCCAAAGTAGGCCTTATCACTGACTTTTGAGCTGATTTTCTATGTGCAAAACTCTTTGACAAGTTTGCGTAATATGATGACCGTGTGAACATTGGTCATCAAAATATCAAGAGAAGATTTGACTACTAATTGACATTTTAAGGTACAGTAAAAACCCGCGTCTAACATTTTAAGAACCTGTTGGGCTCAAATTTATCAGTTAGGCCTCCTCTAAACAAGAACCTGTTTAGCCTAAAATTTAAAACAGGTTCTAATTTTCTAAAATCTGTATAAAAAAAATTCTGTACATTTAGGCACATAAGATAAGACAACATTCAGAACCCTCTTTGGAGACAAAGGTTTCTTATCACTCCAACTGCAATGTAATGTGGAATACAGATTTTATGTAAGGAATAAGCTGAATATACCACTAACTACTCTAAGCTTCTGTGTTTTTTCCAGAAAATAAGAACCTACTCAAGACCCTACATCGCCTATTAAGGCTAACTTAAGAAAAATGAAGGTTCTTAATTGCAGGTTTTACTGTGTCTTATCCTTTGGGTTAAATGAATAAAGTCTACATAAATTTATTGGACAAGAGGTATGGTCTCTAACTATATCTGACTCATCGAGTCTTGTAAAAAGTTATGTTTTCAACATTGATAGTAGCTACAGCGAATATATCTTTCGATATCTTTAGTTGCTGAACAGTTCAAACTCATTTTGATTCATGTTTTATTACTTCTTCCATTTTTAGCAATTTCAGGATTCCGACAGACTTCGAATGACGCACCTTGGCGGGATTTCTGAAAGGATATGAAACCAAAAAATTACATAATTTATACAGTGGACGCTCTGCTTACTGCCACCTTCACAAACTTTAACCACGTTTTAACTCCCATACAAACTTAGACTGCTTACAGTCCGCCTTTTCTCTTAAAATCCGTCTAGTTCTTATCTCAGCCAGCGCGATTGCAAACCACGATGTTACGTTAAAATAAAGAATTGGTTATGGGACGAGACGAGAACAGGTCGGTCCACGAATTCTATCGCTTGAAAGCGTTGATTACTTTCGTTCAAATGAATACTTCAGTGGTCCACTGTTTTTCCCAGTCGATATATACTATATATCAACTTCATATCGCTGCTCATGACAATGATTTATATCAGCTCAGTGTTTGTTTGTTTGTTTGTTTCATTTTCAATGTTTATTTGTACCAACTCTAATGACCCGTCCCGAGCGTCTGCTTACCAGAGCTTCCATTGTAGTACTATACAACTATCCGTTATACGCTTTTTTCAGTGCTTTAATTTCCACCTAACAAAACGTTCCCCTGAAAGGATCTTTGCAGTAGCCGAGTTTTATCTTTTAAATCTTAGGTAATGACAACAAAAACTTTTAAAGATTTTTTTGGTGCAAAGTATCTCCCAAAACTTTTTTTACAACGGAAATTTTAGATTTAAACTTAATTCATTGACAAAGATAGATGAGGCAATGCCTGCAACAAGTTCAAGTTCACGACAGGGAAAATTTCGTACTTCACACATTGCTTCTATTTTACTTAGGCGCGTAACATTTACGTTGGTACGGTAAGAATTAAAAGACGATTGAATTCAACTTACCCATAATTACAGAGAGGAGTGGAGCAGCAGCTTAGGTCTTGGCAGGTCACGTGGGATTCATTTGTGGCTCGTTGTTCACAGAAAGACATTTTACACACATCTCTAGCAAAACACGACTTGGCGAATTGATGGACCGCTTTTCCTCCAGGGTACCTTGTTGTGCGGTGTACTTTCATGCAGGTGTTCAGAAATGACGGGCACTTGTGGACCTTTGCATTGCGATGACAGTCACCCCAGGACTTATCGGAATAACAAGTGTGACACTCTAAGGACTGATGCGAGGAACCTGAAAAGGAAAGTCATATATTAAAGTTTGTGATATTTGGAACTCTTCGGGAGGCCGCATACTTTAAGCTTTTCTGGCACTTTGCCATTATC